ATTTAGTGAAAATATTTGTGAAAACATCTGCTAACGTGTGTCAACAAGAAAAACAAAAATATGAAATCTCATTATACTGATTTTGATGGTTGCCAGTTGCTTGTAATGTGTATTACAAGTTTATGGAGTTTAATATGTGCCATTTTATTAGAAAAATCTCCCTATACCAAGAATTTACTGTAATACAAAGCTTTAAGCTTCACACTGCATATAATTGTAAATTTGTTTTTGATGTAGATATATAAAATGGAAGATAAAGGGCAAGTAATACATTCAGTCTTACGGGCACTTAAGTTTTGGCTGGCAGCTCTGCCTAAGCAGCGAGCATGAATCCCTCTGAATAAACCATTTGCTACTGGGTGCCTGACAGAACAGAGGTATTCCCATGATGAAAGCTTAGCCAAGCAGTAAACTAAAATACTAAAGGAATATGTGTGAAGTACATACATTTTCAACAGAATTATATATTTAGCTTTTTACAGCTTTTTGCCATTTTAGAAATATTTAATAAATAATACTTAATTTCTTCCGCTGTTGCCTTTTTTTGATGACAGCAGCGGTATATTCAAGCAGTTAAGATAGGCAGTGGAAATCACTACTTTTCTCGGAAGCAGCACTGTTTAAATCAGAAATACATTTAATCTTATGGAATACTTCCTAAGATAATAGGCTTAAACTGTTTGATGTCATCTATAATACCTGCAAAAGATGTATGTAGCACCAAGAATTTAAGTTAATTATCCAGTCTAGAAACTGAAGATCATGCATTTACATATTTTTTTTTTAAAATAGTATACTGCTTAAGACATCTTAACAAAAATTAGAAATCTGTGTTTTTCTTAAATTTTCATATTGTTTCTGTGGCCTTGCCATCCCATATACAGGTACTGTTGAGACCTGGCCATGACTTCGACCGGCCAGTTCTGCCTTCAAAGTGTGGCCAGGTCCTCCAGCTATCATGGCCATTTGATTGGGACAAATGTTGACCTTTTCTAGCTTGGAAAGCCAAAGCTGGAAAGTGCTTATCTGAGAGTTATTGCTTGAAGAATGTGACACGGTACTAGTGATACTTAGTATGTTTTGTCTCTAAATGACTTCATACGAAACTTTTTCCATTTATCAGATTTATATTTTTTCCTAGATTGACAGCTAGTTCGATTTTGTCTCTTAAGACATTGATTTTTATAATAAAATGTAAGATGGCAAAGAAAAGGTGTGACATTAAGAAGGGGAGAAAACTAAACAGACACACACCAAACAAATCCAGATACTTAGGAAATAGAAGTGAGAAATAAAAATGCAAAGGATAAAAAAAAAAAAAGTGAATAGATTGATTTCAGCAGAGTTTGTATACATACTCTGTCTTCAGTTACCAATATTTGTGTTACTGGCAAAAAAATTAGTGTTTTGGTGTATGTATTTTAAATGCACTTAATGTAGAGTTAGTTATGTTTTTATTTAACTTATTCTTTGTGCTTTTGTGAAACAGATTGAGAAGAAAGAGAAAATTCTTTTCACATACACGATCGTATGTCTGATATTTAATCTATGTTTTCCCTCCATAGCATTTAAAAATAGCTGCTATACTGTAATAATATTTATCTCTAACTTCTTTAATTGAAAACTATATACATCAAACCAAACTGTTCTGAAAGAAAAATATCATTTCTGCATGTCTACCCTACTAACCTAATTCTTTTTCAAGGATAATAGTAGGCTAAAATTAAGTATTTTTAGAAGTGCAGTGCTCTCTTTAGATATATTACATGTTAATATCAGGAAGAGACAGCACAATGACTAGTTAATGACAGCAGCTTCTCATTGGTAGTGCGGTGTTGGACCCCATTGGTTTTTAAACAGTGAAATAAACAGCATTAGATTTACTTCACAAAGCTGAAAGATTTGGTAATTTAAAAACATTTCATCTGGAAGGTGACAAAATTAGAAGATGAAGTCAGTAGGTGGTGGACACTGGACTTTTGAGAAAATAATAACAATCAAGTTAATTTCTTAACCAGTTTAATTGTTCATGAAGTAGCTTTCTACTTATGACCAATGGTCAGAGCAGCGTTCACAAGTCCTGTACATGTAAAGAAAGTTCAGTTAGCCAGATGTGTTGGGCAGAGATACATTTGGGGTTTTTTTATAATCTTGTATAGGTAAGAGTAATGTATTTCTGTATGCTTAGCACTTTTTACCTTTGCTAGCACCACAGAATGATGTCATCTCATTGTAAGGCATTGAGTTTCCAGAAAGTCTAAGGAATAAAGTAGGAGGTGAAGAGTGTAAAACTTGATGTTGAGGTAGCATATGGGCCCAGTGTTCGCAGTATCTATCAAATAGTCTTCGTATATCTTAATTTTAGTGGAGCAAAGTGTTAATGAATAGGCTAACAGTAACTGATTAAAGAACCCATTATATCCAAGTTTACTCGGTGAAGAGTAAAGAGTAATCTGTAGCGAATTCATGTAGATTAACTAACATTCAGAACTCAGCTTTCAATAATTAAAATTCATTCAGTTTCATACAAATTCTTTTGAATTCAATACCAGGTTTTGTACAAATTTCCTCATGAATTTTTAACAATAGAAGTATTTTTAAAGGTTGCATAAAAATAGTTACAAGTTCAGCTTACAAGCAAAAAGCCAGTAAAGTTGCACAGAATTTACTTTGGCATGTAGTTACAATCCCCAAAATATACCAAAGAAACATTCTGGAGTTAATGCACTAGTTAGATTCAATGGTAGTGTGCTAGTAATGAGATAGATTTTTAACTTTTTATTTAAATTGAATGAACTTTAGCCCAAGGCTGAGCAAAAATTGAGGTTTGGTGGTCTTGGCACTGCATACTGCTCTGCATAGCCAGGTGATGGTAGTACAGTTCCTTTGCTGCAGAGTTCCAGGTGAGTCTAGATACTTCTGTTTTTTCACAAAGGTGTCTGGCTTGTGTACCACATTCACTTGGTCTGTTCTTCTGCGGGGAAAGTTGTAATAGCTTAAGAAATAACCATCTGTAGAGTTTATTACCTCCTGTTAGCTGGAGGCTATGACCTTCTTTCCTGAAACACCTTAGCAGGTTCTATCACACAAAATCTGGGTTTGTTTAAATCCCAATTTAACCTATACCACTGAAAGTAGTTGTCCTGGTTTCAGCAGGGATAGAGTTAATGTTCTTCCTAGCAGGTGGTTAGTGCTGTGGTTTGCATTTAGGATGAGAATAATGTTGATAACCCACTGATATTTTTCGTTGTTGCCCAGCAGTCACGGACTTTTCAGCTTCTCCTACCGGCCTGCCAGGGAGGAGGCTGGGGGTGCCCAAGGAGCTGGGGGGGACACAAAGGCAGGACAGCTGACCCACACTGGCCAAAGGGATATTGCATACCATGTGACATCATGCTCCATATAGAACTGGGGGGTGGGCCAGGAAGCAACGGAGCTCAGGAACTAGCTGGGCATCGGTTCTGGGTGGTGAGCAATTGTGCTGTGCATCACTTGGTTTGTATGTTCTATTATTACTGTCTTCCTTTGCTGTCCTGTTAAACTGTTTTTATCTCAACCCACGAGTTTTACTTTTTTTCTTTTTGATTCTCTCCCCCACCCCGCTGGGGCAGGGGAGTGAGCGAACGGCTGTGTGGTGGTTTTAGCTGCCAGCCGGGTTAAACCAGGACAGTAGTTTAAACTAATCCTCCTGACTGCACTCAGGCGAAATGACAGAACTCATATGGTCACAGTAGCTGAGTTTTGGGGAAGGTAACTGCTGGTTGTTGTAGGATAAGTTCTTAAACTATCCTAGTTAAACCCATGGGATGGCATTCAACTGAACTAGTTGCTTATCCTGTTTTGGCATGCAATTGGATTTTGTTTATGTATTTGTTTAGTGTTTCTGACATTGGACTTTTTGTTGTTGGTAGAAAGAAGTAAAATAATACAGATTTAGAAATAGATACATCTTTCTGCAAAATCACAGTTTCATGCTGATACTTAGACATCATAACGTCTAATGGACTTGCCTGTTGTTCCTTTAAATATTTTTTGTTTGGAAAATAGCAGCTTATAATCATTGCAAAAATTATTTAATATTCAAAGTTTGATAGTTCATATGAAGAGCGAGGAAATACATTTTTCCATAAAAATATATAGAGTATCTAATTTTAGTAATACATGGATGAATTTTGCATTTGTCTGCAAAGGTAGCTGTGCATCAGTAGTTATCAACACATGAAATAACGTTGCTTTGTAGAAGAAATAAAATGGTTAAGATAGTTTGATATAAAATAGTTATTGAGAAGTAGGGGTTTACACTGATATTAAACATCTGCTTGATCTTGTGAAATAGTTGTTTCTTAAGGCTTCTCTTTAACTTTGGCAATGTAAATCTGTTATCTCTTTACACTTAGAGGTGTTTTGGTGTGTCAAATGGTTTGACTTATCATATGCGAAGGATTAGAATTCTCTCTGGAAAACTGGAAAATGAAATAACAGTAAAAATTATAAGTCTGTTTCTGTTCATTGTTTTCCAATCTGCATTACACATAGAAGCAAAACGCGCTAGAATTGGGATTCCCAAACTTCCTTCGCCAGACCCTACCATGAGCAGCGAATGCTCCTGTCTCTGAAGTGGTTTGCTTACTGCCAATCATGCACATACGACTGTGCACACTTGCTGTATACTATTTTATGTAGGTCAGTAGGCCTTAAATATTTGAGCGTGTCATAAGTCATGCTCTTACCTGTCCTCTTGCAGATGGGTTATGCTGCTTGATAATTTGTCGCACAGTAAGTTACAGGGAACTCCCACTGAATAATCCAAAATTAAAATCAGTAACCAACGGTTTAGTTGTCAGATGCTGCAGAGTGTTATTTACATGGGCTATTGAAACTTTTATCTGCTGGGGTTTTTTGGTACAATTTTGTATGCTTTGGTTAAAAAAAAATAAAAAAATAAATCCGAAGTAGCCATATGGTTAATTTTTGTGATTTTTTTTTTTTTCTTTCTGCAGCTCTATTGAGAAGTCATTTCCTTGGAGATCATCAGGTATTATCGTTTATGTGTACATTTTGCTTTAAGCCCAACCCTCTTTATTTTCTTGGCGTTTGTTGCTTGTTTTGAAGTGAACTGAACATTAGTAGCAATGCTATGTATCTTTTCTAAAGTATAACATTAATACTCTCTTTCTCACACATGAAGAGATTTGTGTGTTCCTCTGTTACTGTAAAAGCTTGTTTTGGCTTAGAGGTAGTTGCAAGTACACTTTTCTCGTACCTTTTTGTGCTTTTGCATTTTTGTGTGAGATGTGACCATCAACAAAAGTCTTGTGTAGCGGGTCTCCTTTGCAATTAATTAAAAAATACTTTTGAGTCTTCCCCTTGGCAGGTAAGGATCATGAAAAAATACTATATGGTTTAAGCTTGAAAACTGATTTTCTTTTCACTTTTTTTTGTTACTTAACTGAGAAAATCTCCAGTTAGTGAAGGTTTTTCTGAGAGTGCTTTTTCTATTTTGGTATCTCAGGATAGCTTGAATTTCCTTTCCAAAACAAGAAGTGTTTGTCTTGTAGTACTTCTGAGTATATACTCCTGAGTATATTAGGTGGAATGGATACGCCTGTATAGTAAAAGTGATGTTCAAGTGTCTGTTGAAATAATCCAATCTGTCCTTCGCACATCAGAGCATTTAACTAGTTAAGATTTTGCATCAGTTAAAATATTTAATATTGAAGAGTCAATCTTTTGAACAGCTGTTGTCTCTTTAGAGTGATGAAGTGTACGTGCAGAAGTCAACACGTCAAAACCACACAGCAGGACCAGAAATGGGACCTTGACTCCATGCAAATTGCTTTTTGCACTGGATCGTGTTTCTCTAATTCAATCATGTACTCCTGACGGAATGTCATGTTAAGCAAAACTGGTGTAATGTAATCAAAATGCAGTTAGAATTTTAGGTAGCTTGTTAAAAGCTTTATTAACCAGGTTCTGTGTAGTGTTAATATCATATCTTTATATAAGGATGCATGCAGTTTTAAGAGCTATCCTTCTGACAGATCTCAGTTATTGTTTTACTGATTTATCTTATCCAGTTGCATTCCATTTCTTTATTTCCTCAGTTTTTCCTGGAACTTATTCTTTGTCTATTGTTCATTTTTCTCTTCGACTTTCTATTACTTCCCCTCTTTCTTTCTTTCTTTCATCCATCCAGCTCATATTTTTACTTTATCCTTTCATTCTCTCCTCCCATTTGTATGTTTCTTTTCTTCAGAGATCTCCTGTGCTCATCCCTGCTAAGAAATGGCTTAACATATGTCAAAAAATCATACTTCTATTTAAATACTCTATGCATTAATATAAATCTAGGTGTATATTTCTCACATCTCTGTATCTAAAGTAAGGCTTTTCTGGAGTAATTGCTTAGGAGTGGGCATGTTTGAAAAAAAATGTATTTTTTGCTTAGAATTTTCTGATATACATTTCATTTAATGTTTACAGTTACGTTGTGATCATAGCATGATTGTAGGTTTTACTTACAGATTCACTCTTGAGCTTTATGTTAAAGTGTCACTACATGATGCTTTACCAGCTGCAATCTGAAAAATACTCAAGTTAAAAATGAATGAAAATACTGCCATAAATCACCTCTTTTTCCTGATTGCAGTTAGTGGTTTATATCAAAAAACATCAGCAGATGATATGATAAGATGTGACCCTAGCTGAAATTGCTTTATGCATCAGTAGAATTATACACAATTTTTTAACAGAAATATAAAATAATGATGTTTAGCAGACGCTTATAAATAGAATATTAGATCAGCAGCCATTTATAAAAAGGCTATTATTTTATTCAAGGCAATCTCCTCATGATTTATAGTAGCAGAGAAGGATAGAAAGACAACAATTCGTTTTATTGTGCATTCTTGCCTTTGTTAGAGAGCCTAAACAGTCTTTACTTTTTAGCATTGTGAAAGCATTTGCTTGGTGGCAAATGTGTGATGCAAGCGAGGTTTTGGTTCAGACTGCTGTCTTCGGAACATCTGTATGGCACTGCACAATTGAACTTTATTCTTCCTATGTGTCTCTCCCAAAATTGGTTATTTGTCAGTTTGAAATTGACTTAGTATCATGTAATATCAAGTAACTGAAATAACAGGGCCTTGTATTATTTAAACAGAAAAGATTGAAGATTAAAATATTGAAGTTTAATATAATTATAGAGTAATCTAAATCTCCCAGTCCCCACAAATCTTTTATTTTACAGACCGTGTAATATCCACAGATGTCTGTTATGGTCTGTTATCAAGTAGGTGTAACAGGAGCTGTGAAAGTGAGTTATTTCAGTGTTGGCTCTCTGTATCATTTCTAGGGATACTGATGGTTAAATTAATGAAAGTGTAATAACACTTCTTACTAAATCTTAATTAAATTTGGTCATAATACTCCTAATATAGTAAATTAATTAGTGTCAAATTTTACTAGATGGTTTTGACCTAAGAATGTACTACTGATAAATAACTGTGCTGACTGCCTGTAATTTGTAAAAACCATTGATTTTTTTACCTATTTTTTTAATCTAGTATTTGAATAGTGTTCAAACATTCATCATAATAGCAATTAATGAGTAACATTTTTAGTATGAATGTTCCATTATGGCTAATTGTACAAGTAGCGAGACACCAGCGTTTTATGTACAGAGTATTTCTTTACAGCTTGATAGGTACAAATACTCTATGTTTTTGATTTCTTTTCTGAAATACGCCATAGTAACAGCTGTTATAAAGTGTTTCCAATAGCTCATCTGTTATGACTTTTTTATTTCATGTTTTGTGGGGGATTTTTTTCTGTAAGTGCCACTAGATTTTATATCGGGATATTTTTTGTCAGTTTGAGAGAGTTTTCATTAGCTATTACATAGACTTTATTTCAGCCCTTTTTTCCATCTTTCTCCAAAGTCAGTAGCATCAAATTTCCACAAACTTCGAACAGTTTTGCCTCTTTCTATAACGTGCTGTTATATTCATTTTCAAAGAGCACTTAGCAGGCTTCACTGTCCACAACTCGCAACTTTTGACATGAAGCAGTCGCCGAAGTTTTGACTGGACTGCTGCTTCTTGACATGTTTCTTTTGGTTTCTGCTCTAGGCTTATTCTTACATTTCTTCAGCAAGAATTTACATATCTGGTGTTACCTTTAAATGTAACCCACATTTCCTACTACATCTCTGATGCCTGTTCTTCATCAATAAGTCTAACATGATGGCAGTTGAATGCTTAATATTTCTGTCAAAGTAATTTTGACTCAGTTTTTCTTGTTGTTTCATGTCCTCATCTTTGTCTTTTCTTCCAGACTGTGTTTAACTTTTTCCTTTCTTCATGATAATGTTGTGATATCTTCTTTGCTTTCTGACACTTGCCTTAGCTGTCTGTAAGGTTCAGCTAATATTCTTAGAACTGAAGTTAGCTCAAGAGTTATTAAAAATAGTACATGAATAAAAAAATGTATAAAATTTGCAGTAGCTTCTGTTGATGGTAACAAACAGGGATGAAATTCAACTCGGCCTTTTACTTAGGAAGCTCTTCAGATAATAGGACCTTAAGACAAGTGATAGCTATCCTCTGTGCACTACAACACAGTTGCACAATGTTTCTACTCTGCAAAGTATATTTACTAGGAAATGAGTTAATTTTTTTCTTTAAGACAGGTTGCAACGTACATTTGAAAAATTGTATAGAATTGTAGAACTATATCAAAACTCCAGGAAACAAGATTCTCAGACATTAGTATTAACATTCTTTCCATTTAGTAGATGATACCTGTCTACCAGTAGACTCTGTGTATATTGGAAGTTTTCGTTAGTGTGTGTGAGAAAAGTATTATTATTGAGTTTGCAGGAAACTTACATATGAAACATTGGATTTATCTAATTTATTCATTCTTTCAGATCCTCCAACTACCAGTGCAAACAAACCCCGAGTATCAGAGAGTGTTCATACCAATGCCTATGACATTAGGACAGAACCGGAGCAAGGGAACCTCTACTCACCTGAACAGACATCTCTCCATGAAAGTGAGGGTCTGTTGTGTGCATTTTAAATATTAGAATGTATTTCTGTATTGACTGTATAAAAATGTAATACAATTATGAATGCAACAGATAAGAGCTATATAATATTTTATTTTTGTGAAGTTGGTCAATGCTTTTATTCTTATGCTGGCTTCATATCTACAGGGTCTGTAGGTAACTCAAGAAGTTCAACACAGATGAATTCTTACTCTGACAGTGGTTACCAGGAAGTAAGCAGTTTCCATAACAGCCAAAACTTGAGCAAATCAGAAAACAGACAGCAGCATTCCCTTACTGGAACTGCTAATAACCATTTGGTGAGAAGCTCGCGAGCTGAAGGGCAGACATCAGTCCAGGTATGCTCAAAATAGTACACTTCACCTCTGTCTGTACACTGTCTGTAACAGTTCTAAACACAATAATTGTATAGCTGCACCTACTTTCATATAGGCTGGAATTAATGTTACTAAATTACACTTTTATTTAACACCTTCACTGGTTGAAAAGTAGAAATGGCTTGCAGCAGACATAGACTTGTTTGCTGAAATCAGCACATACGTGATCTCGTTCATTCACTGCAGCTGAAATTAAGTAAAACTACTGAGGATTCCTGACTGCAGAGTATGCTGCTGATATTATATCAAGAAAGTATCATTCAAAATTCAGTTGTGATACTAGGGGAAACCTCCCGAGAATTTAGCCTGTATGTAAATTTAGTGCTTAAAGGGAAATGGTATTTGTCTTCCTGTACCCTCTGCTGTTTCTGGCTTTTTACCCCCTCTTTTTTTCATTAATCAGAATGATAGTAAGATAGTAATCGACAAAACTTTATTAGCTTTTTCTAGAACTCTTTGCAAGACTGTTCCTGAATTTCCGAAGTGGTAGTGAGGAAGGAAAGCATAGGTGCATATTAACATAGAAAGCCAGATAAGAATGAGGAATGGAAGGGTTTTTAATGTGAAATCGCCTTTTTATATATTAAAAAATACTGGTTAGGAAAAAAGTTATTATTTAAGGAAACTGGAAGGAATGATGGTTAGGGTAAAAGCTATTCTTCAGCTCCTTTTATATATTGTTGAATTGTGTGCATTTCCTGGTGACTTCTCTGACTTACGGGACGAAATGATAAAACTAATAAATGTTTTTGTTTTTAAACAGCCTTCAATAAATATTGCTACCAACCGAGTCATGAGACGTGTCAGTTCAGTCCCATCCAGAGCTCAGTCTCCCTCTTACATGGTCAGCACGGGTGTTTCCCCTTCAAGGGGGTCGCTGCGAACATCTCTGGGTAGCGGGTATGGTTCTCCGCCAGTCACTGAGCAAAGGTCCCTTACTTCTCACGCATATTCATCCACTACTCTGCCAGCACAGCGGGCAGCATCCCCGTATGCTGCACAGAGACCTGCCTCCCCAACGGCTGTGCGACGGATCGGCTCAGTCACGTCCAGACAGGTGGCAAATCCCAATGGCGGGACTTCCCAATACCAAGCATCGGTCAGAGTTGGCTCTCCTCTCGCCCTTGCTGATGTACAAACCAGAGTAGCTTCGCCATCCCAAACTCAGCTGGGATCTTCGTCCCCGAAGCGTTCTGGCATGACTGCAGTTCCACAGCATTTGGGTACAACACTTCAAAGAACAATTCATGACATTGAACAGTATGGACAGCAGTATGATGTATACGAGAGAATGGTCCCTCCACGTCCAGATAGCCTTACAGGTTAGTAAAAAGGTAAAGATGCAGCTTAAAACTTGGTACAAACCTACAACTGTGGAAAACCAGTAATGCAATAGGTTTTTTTATGGATGAAGCATTGTAGCCACAGCACATAATTGTGGTGGATGTATCAGATCAGTTGTAAATACTGATGTCAAACACTACGTATTAATCATACCATAAGTTCCCTGTGAATACTGTATTTCTCTTTATTTACTAGATTGCTAGCCATGCATTAAATTAAATCGTATGTTTTAAGTAGCTAAGTGAAATTCTGAGTCTTCCAAACAGAGGCATTTCAATATTTTCTAAGATAAAGTACATTTAAAGGAATGTGCAGGTTATACACAAAATAATAGATACTAGGCTGAAACTAGTTTTATGTCTAGTTCTTTCTTAGAACATGTAACATAGTACAACTGAATTTTAGTCTTTTTTTCCCTAATATCAAAGTACTTCAACTTACATATAGGGTAATCATTGTAATATTAGCTTAAAATAGAGCCCTAAAAGATAGAATCTATTCATCTGAGAGGCAGTTCTTATTAAGGTGCAGTTACTTTGCATTTTATGTTCTGTGTGTGTTACTGTTTTTATTCTGACCTTCATCTAAATGAGCACAGACAAGGTGATTTTGCAGTTAGACCATATGCTCTTTTGAACAGACTGCAATGTCTGTTTTTTCTTTTAAACTATTATACTGCAGGAAATTGTAAAATATTCTCATTCCTGAGCAAAAGGTGTAAGGTGTCTTCTCCCTCACCTCTCTTCAAGACAGAGTAATCTACCCGTTTGATAAGCAGAGGGTGGAAATCAGTTTGACGTGACAGGCTATTCAGAAGCTTAAATGAATGCTGTCCAGTGGGCTGCATAATTTGTGATGTAACAGCAATGTTGTACTCTTAAAATATTGTTAAGGTACTTTACAAATACCACTGCTTGAGAATATCACCTTGTCTAAGCAGGTGAACTGATACATCTTTAGAAAAAAGAAGTTATTGGAATAGTGAATCAGTAATTCATTAACAGATGCTTTAAATTTAATGCTTTTAGTATTAAGGAAGTGATTAGCAACTGTGGTAGTCAAAGCTTAGAGAGCATCTTATTTTATAGCCATCTCCACTGTAATCTTTCCAGGAAACTTGAAATGGTATGACTTTCCTGTGCTCTATGTTGCAAACTATGAGTAAGAATCCCTCAGTATTATAAAAAACCTTAAATTCTCTAGTATAAATTAGTTTTCGTGTTTCTCTAGGGGAAACAGTTCAATATAACACCAGAAATCTTAAACTCAAATTTGTATATGATCAGTTTTCTGAGAGGAAGTTTGCATGGGGGGAAGGTTGGTACTGTAGCAGCCTTCAGTATAATCCAGAACTCTTCCCTGCTGTGTAAGCTGAAGGAGAGGATGGATATGTGATCAGGTCCTCTCCTCCTCCTGTGCTTACCGTCTCTAGGAAGGGTATCCATGTGGTGCATGTCTGGGAAAACTGAAATGTTGATGAGTGTCTTCCCAGGAGATAGCATCATCATCTTGCAGGTGTAGGTCCAGTTGCCTGCTTTGCTTTGGTGAAGTCCCTCTATTTTCACCACCTATGGATGTGTTTTCTTGGTGATGACCTGTGAGACCCCCAAAGGTTTCCTTGGCAGACATTATGATAGAACAGGTCTGTGATTTTGGGGGGGGGAAATATTTGTATGCAGGATACATTTGGTTAAACATCTGTTGTGGTTTAACCTGGGCGGCAGCTAAAACAACCACACAGCCATTTGCCCA